AAAAAAAAAAAAAAAATATCTATCTTCTTTTTACGTCGGCGGTTTAAAAAGAGAGTATGAAAAGATTGATGCTAGTAGAGGAAACGAAAGAAGTGTACCAGGCAGACTGCAGACCTGAGGTTAAGTCAGTCTGATTGGGAGAGAGACGTGATAGAATGTTAGAGAAATTAAATAACTAACCCACACATTTTTGTCTTTTCCAAACACACACAAAATGGTTGAAAATCCAGTCTGTCCAGAGTCCTTGCGTCCCATATGCATCGCCCTGATGATTCTAGCGTGGACTTCCAAAGAATAAAGCCTCTTGTCGAGTCGCTAAAGGACTCCGAAGTGTTAAAGGCGATTAATGAAGAAATATTGAAGAAGGCCAAAGAAGAGAAGAAGAAAGAAGAACGGAAATATACTACGTTTTTGCAGAAACCGAAAAGACCGGTGCCGAAAATGAAATTTGGGTATTATGGATATGTTGAACCGGAGGAAGAAGAAATTAAGGTAAGATTTGTTTTACAATTGGAATTGTGGCTTGGTTCTTTTTTTATAATACTAAGTGACGGGGCGAACAAGTCGTGCGCCTGATGGTAAGTGACACAGTTGCAGTGCCACTCAGAGCTTCAAATGACAAAGATCTGAGGGGCATTCCTACTGCGCTCGTCTACCTGAGGCATAAGTTGATAAGTGTGCATATAATTTCACCAGCACCCTTGTTCTTCAAAATCGGAACGCAGTAATGCTCATATTACTGCTTGGCGGCGGAAATAGGTAAGGTAGCAGTAGATAGATATATAGTTAGATAAACACTTTATTGCTCACACACAAGAACAAGAATAGTACATAAACAACTTAAAACTAATGTGGGCAAAGGCGGTCTTATCGCTAAGAGCGATCTCTTCCAGACAACCTTAGAGTTAGAGGAATGCTAATCGGAGCGGGAGAGGTAGTGTGCCAATTTTACAAATATAAAAATAAAAATATAAAAAAAATAAAATTGTATAAATAAAAAATAAAAAAAATACAAAATAATAAAATTAAATAAAGACACATAGTAATTTATAAAATATTTGATATTGAATTTAAAAAATAATGATATATTATACCTACGTAGATATATGTATATATAAATATACCTAAATGAACTTATACTTACTAATAACTTATACTTACTAATACATACGTTGCAGACTAGGACCGTGATAAAAGATATTTACGCAATCCGGTTTTGAAAATAGTTTCAAATGGGAGATCGTTCCGCAAATTTGCAGCCTTAATAGTAAAAGAATTTTTGTAATACTCAGAGCGAGTGAAAGGAGGCTTCAGTAGGTTATCCGTTTTAGACCTTAGTTCACGGTTGTGATCATCCCCGAGGAAGTGAAAACGAACCATAAGGTATGGCGGAGTACGAGTGTGGTATAGAACATTGTAAAGTAAGCTGAGAACGTGCTCCTCACGGCGCAACTTGATAGGGAGCCACTGAAGCCTTCTCCTAAATTCGGCCACATGATCGAACAGTAGAAGGTGGCAGTACTTCGTATTCTATTTACTTATTCATTAACAATTCATGTGGCCAAAAATGCCATAAAAAATTTAGTTATAAATTAAAAAATACATACAAATAAATTGAAACTGTAATTGATAATGAATTGGTACAATAATAACAATAAAATAATATAAATCTAGAATAACGAAGTAACGATTAACAACGATCATTTCGACTGCAACTCCGACTGCAAATTTACAGTCGGAGTTGCAGTTGAAATGCAGTCTGTCATGTCGGTCTTACAGAGTACCAGTATTTATCCAAAAATAAAGTTCTGTCTGTTTTTGAAAAATTTTATATCTATAATAATTTTAAGTTCTAAGGTTCCAGGTTTAGGACGAGCTTTTTCACAAAAGTTGCTAGAAATGGAACTTCAATAAATACTTACGGTTACTATGCCACAGAGGAGACACTTTTAGTTTTGGCGTCAACTTCGTTGTCATCACGTCTGCCAAATGTAGTTGCATTACAGAATTGGCGTTGTAAATACACAATGCATTTTCTATTTGCTATATTTATATTAGTTTCCTTATTGACAATAGATATATTTATATTTATTAAATGTATCGTTATGTACGATTTGCCCTTGGCTGTGTTTCAATAGACATTTTTAAGGTAATGGATTTGGCAGCTTAGCAAATGATGGGGAAGTTTTTTTAGTTTAATTTTTTTATTTGATGTTGGTGGTTGTGTGATTGTGTGCTTAAATTTCAAAGCTTAATAAGTAAATATCGAGTTCTTAGTTGTCCGCCATTGCTATATTGTACTGGAACTGAAACTATTTTTTGAACCGACTCCAAAAGAGGTCGAGATTTTCAATACCGAAATGACATTTTCCAGAAATAACGTTTGGTTGAATTTTCATGACCTCGAAAGTAATTTTGAGAGGAAAATGTTTTTTCTTTTAAACCTAACACGTAATCTAACCGAACCTAATCGTGTCTTTGTGATAAACATCCAACAAATCCTGAAAGAACAACGGTTTCGTTATAATTCGACTTCGGTGTAATGAAAATTCGAACAAACTTTATTTCGGGGAAAAAAATTCGAGTTTGTGATAGGTTACCGACTGTTTTTGATTTTCTAGTGTGTATCTTAGACAATTACTCGGACATTTTGATGATTCTTGTTTTGTTGGAAAGTAGGCCTCCTTGTGAAAGAGCTCGTCCTGGGAAATACTGCTACCTTATCTATATCTACCGCCAAGCAGTAATGTGGGCATTACGTTTCGGTTCCGAAGGCTAAGAGTGCTGGTGAAATTACAGGCATATGGAACTAATCAGCTTATGTCTCAGGGTGTCGGGCGCAGTGGCATTGCCACTCAGATGTTTGTGATTTAAAGCTCTGAGTGTCACTGCAACTGTTATGGACAGACATATTACTTACCACCAGGCGCACAATTTGTTATTCCCGTCACTTAAGTATTAATAAAAAAAATAACTTTAGTAGTAGGCTCATTCGAATTAGAAGAAAATATTCCAACTCTCAGGGTCGTATTCTAGAACTCTACTCAATGCTCAAGTCAGGATTGCAATGAAAACACAAGCACTGGAAATACGACTCTAATGGCAAGGACTTGAGTATGCTTTCTAGTGCTTTGATCCATACTCAAATCCTGACTTGAGCATTGAGTAGGGTTCTAGAATACGACCCTAAGACTGGCAAAGTAGACGATGAATCAGGGTATTGGATTTCACCTGCTTTCCGTCAACCAATTTCAATAAAGACTTGGCAAATAGATGTAATTCTACAAATTTTTGAAGTCGGTCTTTTTTATAAAAAAAATTATTCGAATCCCAAATAGTGTCACCTGTGGGTTAGTAGGTTATGGATCTGTAAAGCCAGGTACTCATTAACGTGTTGTAACTGTAACGTGACAGATACAGTAAGCGCGTGCGCATTGCATTCGTAGTCGGAGACTATAAATCTACAAAACTCGGACCCACTTCAGATGTCGCTTTTGCACTATGTCCGATTCCAATCCGAGAAAATACAAGTATTGCAAAAAGATCCCCGCGCAAATGCTCTGACGAGGTTCTCTGGCGAATTTTCACTCGCTAGAATGAGTATCTGGTTATCGTAGGCTCGCTGCGAACCGCACGCGTATACACTAAGATGTTTGGTTACATAACATGCAACGGTTAAAACTCAGCTCAGCTAGTGAGTACCCAGGTCAAAGAATCGTTGGTTTGAATTTAAATTAATGAAATTTGTTTATTTGTGTGATTTTTTGGTGTAACAATTTGATGTTTAGTAAATAACAGTGCTAAGTATCACAAAAAATCAACCAATAATGGCGGACAAATATTCTTAAAGAAGTCATTAGTTTAAAGTATTACATTTAAATCTATTATTATATTATCATATTGAAATTATCATTAGATTTTACTATTATGATTATATTACATTAAACATTGCATAGTACAGATTAGATGATACATATGTCAGTTGTGCAGATGTCAATCGGTTTATTTTTGTTTGTTATTTTGTTTTTTTGTTTGTCGGTTTGTTTGAAAGATAAGCAATTATAGATCCTAATAAGAAAGCTTAGGTATATTGATCAGAGGCGGCTCGTGGGAGATTTTAGTGGGAGTTTACTTATCTATACATATTTTAAATAAAAAATTAAACTCATATTATAGTGTTCCATTTTAAACAATGCCACTAAACACTACGCTCTTAACAACGTTTGAAAAATAACAGTTTTTACAACACAATAAAATGCGCGTGAAAAAATCCTCATACTAGTCCTTTGTTTCACGTGTCGCGCCGTTTAGAAATTTCTCTTTCGCACTCATTGAATTCAGTATTGAACTTAGTAAACAATGTCGGTCCATAGGAGCGCATCGCGAAGCGCTCCACTCAAGGGTCAGTATGCTACACTGTATTAAAGAGAAAGATAAAAATCTAATTGTGTGTTTGTCGTTCATTAATAATAAAAAATACTGCGGCTCCAAATATAATATGAAAGCGTAATTAATAAATTTATTTTAGTGGGTTGGACAGGAGTGGGAGTTCACTGCACCAGCGCTCCTTAGGACGAGCCGCCTCTGATATTGATATTTAAGTATAGAATAGAATATAAATAGAACTCTTTTTTACGGTAAAGGAAAACGATGTGACAAAAATTAGGAAAATACTTATAAAAACACGTTAAAAACTTCATTAGACCAGCAATGTAGACAAGCCTTACAGACTGAAACGATAGCAAGCTTCTCAAATATGAACTGGGACTGTTGAGGTCCTTTTTTTATGGCATTAAATGACGGGACGGACAAGTGGTGCGCCACAGTGCTGTTCGGAGCTCTAAATCGCTAATATCTGAGGGTCACTGCCACTGCGCCTGTCCCCCCGAGACATAAGTTGACAAGTCCCATGTGCCTGTACTTCTACTAGCATCCTTACTCTGCAAAACCGAAACTTAGTCACGTTAATTCTTGCCGGTAAGAATAGGTAAAATGGCAATACTTGCCTGGACGAACAAATTCACAATGAGCTCTAATTTTACTATAACACAAATAATAAAGAAACTTTTTTGTTTCAGGAACCGTACAAGGTGAAAATTGTAAAACAACCTAAACCCAAAGTCGCTCCAGATTATAAACCAGAGGTAATTGATGTTTAAATTACATATCGGCAGGTTTAGCAGAACAAAGAAATATAACTCGCTAAAGTCGACAAATTTTATCATATTTATTTGATTGAATATATCACTTGGAAAGAGCGGTGGCCTCGGTGTGGCAACTGAAGCTGACTCGAGTCTAGTCACATTGAAAGAATTTTTCCTTTGTCTTGTTCGATTTTTGTATGTAGGGATGTATTTTTTATGAAATCATTCAGCGATTTCTTCGTCAATTGTGGACAGATTTTGAAAATTCTTTTTTTACTTGAAAGGGAAAATTCTCGAGGTATTGTCATCAAGTGAGGGACCCCATGGAAATCGAGCAAAATCCTCAAATTTTATAGGCATGTGCAGTGTGTTTGTTGAAATCAAGCAAATTAAACAATTTGAAGAAAATATTTTACCCCTAAAGGTGGTAAATTATTTCACTTACTTTCTGTTAACCCATTTCAATAAAACTAGGCAAATATATGTAATTCCATAAACTTATGAGGTCAATTTTTTCACTAATTGTAATTGCTAGAGTGGCGCCACTGCAGAGCTTCTATATACGTCTAGTTTGAACGCGCTCTTAGCCTTTGTGTTCATGCTAAGCCTGCAGAAGTAATTATTAATAGAAAATTTTATTTCTCACGAGATGTAATAATTTTAAACATATATATAATTAAAATTATGTAGATAAGTTTAAGTTTAAATTGGAATTAATTTTCATATCTTTCGAACTTTGAATCTGTAACGCAATAAGTATTCCTAGTGGATTGTAATTCTGTTGTTATTTAACAATTATGTTATTAATTAAATTATCGTAAAAACGGATTTAAATAACGATTGGAATGAAATAACATTAAAGTACATAAAACATTAGTTACATTTCAAAAAGAAACTAACGTTCAATAAATACGCAAAATAACTAATTATTCTTTTATTATTTAATTGTAAATAACATCACTATAAATATATTCACATGAAGTATTGATCAAACTTACTATTTTTCATAATAAGAATTCAGTTAAAAAGTTAAATTTTCTACCTTTAACTCTGGCTGAATGGTCTCAAACTAGGTAATATTTTAATTAAAATATAAATTACGAAATACTTTCATGAGGTGTATTGAAAATATATTATATGTAATACGTAATATAAGGATAATATATAGTATATAATACGGTATTTTCACCTCATTGAAAATACAAAATACAATAATTACCACTAGAGCCGAACACCGCGAAAATAATTGAAGAATCAATTAAAAAATACATTTCTGTCAGATAATTGAAATATGAATTATTAGGTACAAATACATATTTACGTAGTAATTGGAATACAAATAGTAGGTACTAATTTAAATTATAATTAATTAAAATACTGCCCAGCTCGGAAACTAACTTAGCTCAATGGTGATATAATAGGTTACATGACCAAACAAAAGGTGCGCTTTAGCGCCATCTGATGGCCAACTTACTATTTCAACTTCTTAAACGAGTTGAAGGTAGAAAAATTAATTGAGTGCTGCGTGTACCTTGGGCATTTTTTCTTACTTTCATTTCTGACGTAACCAACGACTTCCATCTACAGACAAGAACATTCACGCCATCGAGTATATAACCAGAAATAGAGACGAATGTCATTTAATTTGTTTGAAAACTATTCTGCCAAATCATTACTGTGACAACTGCGCTGCTATTGGCCAGCCCAAATTCGAAACAATTGACGGGTGTTGTAATGGACGACAATTGCAAAATTACATATTTAATATTTAATTACCGATGAAATGTGATTCCGTTTGTTTTGTAATTAGATGTTTTGTTGTTTTTCCCACACCACCGAATGGAACAGCCCACATTGTTAGAGATATTTCATTCGTCATCTTTATTATAATAAATACAGATTTTTTCGGAATATACGGAGACGTACACACAGGTCAGTTGTTGGCGCTGTACTATTTCAGCTTTCTAATTTGTGATTTCAGCGCAAACTAAAGTTGACATTTAAAAGTGATAAAAGGCCCATTTGCCTGGTGAGTTGCCAAGGATAGATGGCCCTTATTTCGTCTCGTTATATACTCGATGATTCGCAGCAACTACATGTTCCAAACGAACTATCAATGGTGATAATGTTTTGTTTTACTCATTGACTTACAAATAAATGGACGACGGGTCTAATACAAAAACCACGAAAAAAATGTCCCAAGTCAACCTATTCGAAATTTAAATTGTAATGTCATCGCAGTATCGCGCTGTCCGTAGAACAAATGAAGACTAAAGCGGAGTGTCGCGCTCTGTATACGATTTTAGCGCCTTACAAGTGCGGACACTTTTTAGCGCGGACCCGACGTCCATATAATTGTAAGTCAATGGTTTTACTGTAGAATTTTGTCAAAGAGTATCAGTACCGTAGTAATCTATATCTATTGGGAATGAGCTAGTCAGGCAGATAATATTGAGTGTTTACCAATGATATTTATCCATAGTTGAGGAATTAACGTAAAGCCCCTGGCAAAGTCACTATTACTTACACAATACATATCATTTTGCTTTGACTCAGGGGCCTTCCTTCCTTTCTTCATGCTAACAAAAGAGCGTTTTGTAATTCACTTTAAATTTTATCAATCTCTTTTTAAAATTTTGTACATAAGTTATTTTGACTGGTGGTAAAACTCATCATCATCCACTCATCTATCATGTCATAATGTCATCAACTCCCATCAGGACTTCAACACTGGTCTCCTCCCGTGGGAGGAACGAGCCCTCCGCGAGCCTACACCCCCTCCAGTGGAGGCTGAGGAGCCTATCCTGATACCTGAAGAATTTCCTGAGATTTTGGAGGCTGTAGATCCTCTGCCTGAGAGTGAGGTTCCTGATCTCGAAGATACCGGTAAATATATAAGACTAATAGGCAGTAGTTTCCTACGTTCTTTTATGTTCAATCAGACGTACAATTTGATTTTAAGTAGTAACATGTGTAATTGTCATAATCAGGCACAAGTCTCCTTGAAGGACATATACGAGTTGAGGACTTCGCAAGTTACCCAAGACATGTGAACTTTCTTGATGTGTTTGTTTTTTTGCTAGTACCACAATCATTATTCAAATTCAAATAACTTTATTTCGGAATAAGTATTCATCTATAGAGATTAACATAAAGCACTAAAAGATAGAGTTAGTGCTACAAATAACATTTTTTTTCTAAACTATATGCAACCGGGTCTAGTGTTCATGAAGAAAACCCCGGACTCTGCAATTATACTCAAGAGACTGTTGCCGCACGAACTCTATGCATCAGGGAAGCCGCTCTATCACGGTTTTTTTTATAATATCTAATGACGGGACGAAGAAGTCGTGCGCCTTTTTCGAGGGAAAATCCGTCAAGGATACCACCGTATCACGGGGAGGCGCTGTGGTATCTAGGACCTATCCCACCTCTGAGAGACTTTACCGTCCCCACATTTCGTGGCATGCCGGGAATTGGCACGCCAACCAACCCGTGAACCCTTATCCAGAGGGTGACAAAGCACCCTTTGGTTCACTGTCAGGCAACTGGCGGGCATAGGCCAGCCGCCTGCGCACTAAATGTTTGCGGTGTATAGGATGAGAGGAAGGGTTTTCCACTCGCGCACGCTCCGCCGCCTCCTTCCGCGACAATGCATCGGTGCAGAAGGAGGCCACCGCACCTCACGCCCTCTCGCTGCCGACCATGGCTCGCACCATCGTACATCTCCGATGCACAGCAAAATCGTGGCAGTTGCAACAACACTAGTAGGGCGCTAAGAGATTTTGAGGTGTAGTTGACACAAAGGCTGCGAGTATAGAAAGACAGGCAATATGCCTTGAATAGGATAATCTTTACATCGTCACTACACCTCCCGAACTTGCTATTGAGAATATCAAACCACTAAAACTACTAAAAACCAAGTACAAAGTAAACTACTAAAAAGTCGTTGAAAAACCAAGTACAAAGACACGACGCAAGCACATAGAAAAATTCGTGAGGTCCGTTGGTTCGTTCCGTGGCTTAGTTGGTATAGCGTCTGGCACGGTATGCAAGAAGACGTCGGTTCGAATTCGACCGGATCGAAGGAATTTTTTCTGAGTGTTTTTTCTGAGTGTTCGATCTTTGTATTAATAATTATAATATCAAACCAATTGAAAAAAGTTAATCTCGAAACTGTTTACATCGTTAGATATCAAACTGTCAGTCAAACATTCAATTTTATGTCTAGGTGGTGGTGAACTTCTAACCGACCAATTGAAGACCAAACCAATCACCAATCAATAGACGACTTAGTATATCAAGACCTATCTCCATAACAATTTTATTCAAATGATTGCATTCTGACCTGCAGATTTTGTTTTAGGTATACCTCTCCCAGTACCAACACCCAAAGATCCAACACCGCCACCAGAAGAAGATTCCCAAGAAGAAGAACTCGATCTTGAAGCAATAGTTGAGGAAACAGAGAAGATTGTAGAAGAGAAGCTGGTAGAAGAAATGGATCAGACGAATCTTGCTGAACAGTTGTTGATGAGTGTGCAGAATATGGTTGGTAAGTGTATTATGAAATTTCTCTATCCGACTACGCTGAACGTTAAAGAGAAGGGTACTAAGTATTATAATACTTAAAGATTACCTTTTAACAACAACAATAACCTCTGTATACAACTTGGACTTTTTATTCCTCTCTCAGATCCTTCGGCTCCCCTGGACCAGCAACTGGCCCAAATGCGCGCGCAGCTAGCGGCCCTGGCGCAGTTGCCTTGCGTCATCCAGCAGTCGCTTGAGTTGGTCACTAAGCAGCTGGGACAACTTAGTCAGTTGGTGGGTATCCAAGCCGTTACGTATCTTTTCCCATAGAACATTGTGATATAAACAGCCTGTGACGGTGTGACCTCCTTACACCGTCGTCTCACCTTTTGGTATCGCCTCTCTCCGCTTGTATCCTATCATTTTTTCTTATACTTGTATTTAAATTTTAAATTTGAATTGTTCCATCTTCCTTCGCTGTCTCATTTTGTTTTCGTACCACGGTCACTCCCAACTCGACCGCCACAACAGTCGGAGCTGTTCCGAATTCCATTGCGTATAATCGCTAATTTTGGTTCTTTACCACGTTTATAATCGTCATCTGATGTTACAAATGTCCATGACCACCACTTATTAAGTCTGCTCGTTTGCCTCCTTTTTAACATAAAAAAAAACTTCAATAAATACTTAACGTCTAAAAAAAATAAAGCCTTTTTGGTTTGTATTTCATGTTAAATCAACTGATTTAACATACAATAATCTTAATTATTATTAATCTTGTTAACGTGATTTGGTTCCAGGAAATTCAGCAACAAGAGAAGGCTCAAACTGTAACCGAGGACATCGCAGAAGTGTCACAAGAACAACAAGTTACCGAAGGTAATTTCAATACATTTTAAACTTACATTATCAAAAAAAGGAGGACGTCCTCAATTCGACTGCATTTTGTTTTAATATATGTTACGCTATAATTTGTGAACCGTCTTTTGTAGGCCATGCATTCATGGAAGCCATGTACAATTAGGGACGGATCAGTGTCATTGTTAATATGACATATTTGTTGTTCTGAACATCGAGTATATAACCAGAAATAGAGACGAAAAGTCATTTAAATTATTTGAAAACTATTCTGCCATATCATTACTGTGACAACTGCGCTCCGATTGGCCAGCCCGAGTTGGAAACACTTGACGGGTGTCGTCAATTGTTTCACTTCAAATCGACCAGTTAACTTGAACTTTGCTATAATGGACGGAAATTGCAGAATTACATATTTAATATTTAATTACTGATGAAATGTGATTCCGTTTGTTTTGTAATTAAATGTTTTGCTGTTTTTGCCACACCACCGAATGGAACAGCCTTCCGTTGTTTGAGATATTATATTTATTACAATAAATAAATACAGAATTTTTTGGAATATACGGAGACGTACACACAGGTCCGTTGTTGGCGCTGTCTATATTTCAGTGCAAACGAGAGTTGATATTTATAAGTGAAGTATCACTGATGGGTTACCAGGAATGTATGGCCCTTATTTCGTCTCTATTTCTGGTTATATTCTCGATGTTCTGAATGATCCAATTGATTTCCAAAGCTTGATGCCACGTCCAAATAATGCAATTTGATGTTAGAGTTCAGGGCGAAATTTGAATGATATAAGGCGTTTTGTTAGAATTCTATCGAATTCTAAATAAAACGCTTTATATATAAGAGTTCGTCGAGGGAAGTACTGCCATTTTATTTATTTATGCAAGCGGTAATGTAAGCATTACTGTATTTAGGTTGGAGGGTAATATAATACATAAATTGTTAAAATGACCTTATAAATAATAGAGAAGAAAGCACAACCCGTACCTTAAATATTGTCCATATACTTTTAAAACCAGTCCGTAACACTCGAACTACACTATAATAACCTGATTCCACCATCTTAGCGGACCTCCATACTTAGCTATGTTATATTAGTTGATACATGACATTTGATTTTAGAATGCAGTTCAAAATTCAAAATAACCGAAATACTTTAATATCACGTGATGGTGAAATTCTGTTCGAAATTCAAATGGATTAATCACGTGGCGTTAATTTTTATTGTAGTTATGGAAAATAACGTAGAAATCAAAGAAGAACATCAACAAGCAGAAGAAGTTCAAGAAATGGTTGTGGAGGCGAAGAAGCCGGAACTGACGCCTGAGGAGTTGGAGAGGATGAAGAGGGAAGAAGAGGAGATGATAGAGGAACAGAAAAGAATTGAGAAAGTGAAGAAGGTATGTCATTTATAAATTTCGTTTTTGGAACATTCTACGCCGAACGCCTTTAAATTTATGTAGACCATCGATTTCTATTTTATTTTTCTTCAAGAATAGGGAATGCAAATACGTACCATATTTGAAATCCGAAATTGGAAAACGGATTTCGCAGCGAATCTGGTTAATCCGGATTTTTTTGTATTTTTCGGAAAACTAAATAATGCTTATGAGTTGGATGTAATTTGGGGCTATTTCTTGTTGGTGTAGAGCTGTAAAGATAAAATGGTGCGAATGGAATAAGGGCCATATATTCCTGGTAACACATTAGCGATACAGCTCTTATAAATATCAACTCTCGTTCGCACTGAAATATAGACAGGCCAACTACTGACCTGTGTGTACGTCTCTATATATTCCAAAAATATTCTGTATTTATTGTAATAAAGATAATATTTCTAACAATGCCGTGCTGTTCTATTCGGTGGTGTGGGAAAAACAGCAAAACATTTAGATGTTACAAAACAAACGGAATCAAATTTCATCGGTAATTAAATATAAAATATGTAATTTTGCAATTTTCGTCCATTATAGCAAAGCTCAAATTAACTGGTTGATTTGAAGTGAAACAATTGACGACACCCGTCAATTGTTTCAAACTCGGGCTGGCCAATCGGAGCGCAGTTGTCACAGTAATGATATTATGGCAGAATAGTTTTCAAACAAATAAATGACATTTCGTCTCCATTTCTGGATATATACTCGATGCTAGCCATCGAGCTCGAGCTAGTATTGAACTACCATTGCAATTTTTTGTATTCTGCGCTTCAGTGACCAGTCGGTTTCTGAAATTGACATTAGGTATATAAATATTTACTGTTGGAGAAATAATATATAATTATTACATACATAGATTAGTCGAATCTTAACATTAAAGTACATTTAGGAGCAAATGCAGAAAATGGAGCAAGAACGCCTTGAATACGAGTCCCGACAGGTTAAGCAACGTCCGACCCCACGCGTGGGAAAGCCGAAACCCGTCTTTGGTCCAATGTCAGCTGAACCAAGGCCGCTGGTACTTCCTGGTGGGAGAAAATGGAGAGGACCCAAGGATGCGTACAACGAGCAGTTTTATACTGAAACTTTGGCCGCCCAAGCTGAAATTATACAGGGAAAAACGAAAGGGTTTGTCTTTTAGAATAGATTTATAGATTTTAGTTACTGTATTTAACTTTATTGGTTAAAAAGACTATGTTTGACTGCAGTGCGTCTGTTTTGTTAACATTTTAGAAAAGAACATGAGATTTAGTCATTTAAACGTCGTTGCAAATTAATGGTGACATTGTGCTATTGTCTGCGATAACGGTGGTTTAATATAATGAACTGAAGATTTGGCTGTATGGTTTTAAACCTTTGCCCTTTCCTTAGCGGTATGAATTTAAAAAACAACATATCTAAGGTAATGATGGTATTAATGCCGGGTACAAGAGTTTTTCACTTGCGTTTTTCGCTTGCTTGCGTGACTCGCTTGGCGCATACGCAAAGACCTGTTGCGTACGCGCAGGTCTGTTCACGAGTCCCTCGCTTGCGCAGGCCGCTTGCTTTGCGTTCGATTTCTTTACGTTGCGTGAGTTTGATATCTAGCAAGCTTGATATTTCCACGCATGTAACAAGGAACGTTTACGGAGGACAGCACCACTGGTCTATCACAGTGCAGCAGCGGGTTCGAGAGTGTCGACAACCCCAAGCGGAAGACTCGTGAACGCCTTTGCGCGGAAGGCAGATTTCTAGATAGCCAACGCAAGCAAGCGAAAAACACAGACTCGTGAACATGACATAGACTGTTGCTAAATGCTAATAGCACTTGTGACATCCAAGTACGTTTCATTCGAAGTATAGGTTCTTGAAATAGTCGCAATATGGCACCGGAACAAAAGTTATCAGTCATTGCACAATCAATTAAATGTAGCTTTATTTTAGTTTAAACACATTGACTTACAAATAAATGGACGACGGGTCTAATACAAAAACCACGAAAAAATGTCCCAAGTCAACTTATTTAAACGTAGTGACATGTAAAGCAATATGAAAAAGCTTTTAAATTGTAATGTCATCGCAGTACTGTCTAATTTTGCTTGCTTCGCTGTCAGTCAAACAAACGAAGACTAGAGCGTGAATGACGCTCTGTATACGATTTTAACGCCCTATAAGTTCGGACACTTTTTAGCGCGGACCCGACGTCCATATAATTGTAAGTCAATGTTTAAACATGTCAAATTAGTTGACTCCATGGGTTCAGACTTTAAAAGTTCGACTCGTTACGTGTGGGCCTTGATTGGCGGCACTAGTATCGGCTAGAGATGTGCACCGCGCCGCCATTGCCAACGACTTTTTCACGTTGACGCGGACGAATTTGAACGGCGTACAATCGGCGTGGCAAAAATTTATTTTATTTTAATGAAGTACATGTCAGATTCTTTCCAATTACGAGAATTATAATCATTGTATTGTTTTTCAGTATGATTTTACCAATATCAGGATAAAAAAAGACACTTTTCGTCGAAAATAACTTTTTTGTTATTTATTTACTATGTTCCAATAGGTACAACATTTCCTTACAATTAAAATTAATCACGTTCCTGTCTACATACATCCTTAAAGATGGAAATGGAAAAATAGCGAGTTTTTGTTTTTACACAAATTAATCTAATAAAAGGTCTAAGTTTTGTGTTTCTAAATTATTTGTTTTCTATTTAAGCTGATGGCTATGTAGCCAAAGCTCAAAACATAAAATAAAAAGATTGAAATGGGGAGGCAGGAACTTCTTCCGCTAGATGGCGCATGAACAGTGTTGGACTGTCAAAGTTTGTACTTTATATCATGCCTTACTTGTAAGTGTAAACAACGTTGAAAATAAATACAAAGGTTGATTTATATATGCCACGCCGTTCAAGCCCGCCGTCTGTCGGAAAAGCATCCCACAAAGCCATACCACGGGCGGCGCACGTTTCTAGTGTATTACTATATTATACTTTAAACATCAATACTGTCAGCAGAACAGTTCAAACCTTTGTTGTAATAAGGCCACATCTGTAAAATGACAAGTTTTCAGGAGAGGTTCAAAAATTCTACGAACGAAATTAGTCGACTTTTTTAGGCTAAAGAGTCTATACAACCTCAAATGGCTTTGGTTGATTCCATATAACAGAGAAAGCGTTGAATCAATCACTTCGGAAAATATATACAGGGTGATAAAAAAAGCACTGACTATTTTAAATGAGCATACTGCATAATGAAAATAAAAAATATATGTTCGTTTTTTTCAAATACCTAACATATAAACAAGTTATGACGTCTCAAAGTTTTCCGAAAAATTGTGAACAATGTTGACACCTTATTAGATTAGCAGACGCCGTTGCTATAGCAACTAGAACGGTGTGGGGAATTGGGCGGAGTCAGCGCGCGAGTTCATGTATTTGACAACAAAGTACTAAACTAACGCGCGATGCGTTAGCGCAGGTACGGTGTTTTCACCTAGGCGTCTAGGGGTGAATTTCACTTTCCGAATTTCAATGGCACTTTTTGAGTGATTTTTGTAAAACCCTTTTTTCTTTTGGTTTTAAAGTCTTAAACGTACAAATAAGTTCAAGCAATGTCAATAATTATAAAATCACAGAAATATTTAAGTTAAATAAAACAAAAAACGATATTTTAGGTCACACGAATGAGATTGCAGTAACACGAATGATTTTCTCATAAACGTAAATGAGAAAGACAGCACAGTAATGAGAAATTATTACTAAAACACACATTGTATCGTTCACAAAAGAACATTTAACATGTAACAAATATTTTAATATAACTTGTTGTATCAAAATCCTTCTCATCCGTGTAAGACCATCTATCTATCTATACGTAATTAGTAAATAAATCTAAATAAGTATTTTATTAATGTCATATAAACTTTGTTGTACATCATTATATTATCATCACCACCATCAACATCGTCATCATCACCACCATCATCATCGTCACCACCGCCATCACCACCACTATCACCATCTAATTGTTATATTTCAAGTAAATGTTTGGCTTAAACGAACTATTTGACCTAAAAGTAGACAAGAATGAGAGCTACAATAATGATATTAGGATACATTTTTAATTGTCAAGTGTGTAAAATATGCTGGACCGTTATAAAAGTTATAAAATCTAATTGATGTACAATAAAGTTTATAAAACTATTATTTAATACTTATTTAGATAGATTGCTTTACATGAATGAGAACGATATAGTCACTAGCGCTGAAATTGGTATTTAAGTCGATTTTATTCTAAAATGGAGATGCACAGGTTACTTCACTGTGTACACTCCAATCCGACAGGAGCCCCTTCTCACGTGTGCGAAGGGTGAAGGTGATGCGGTATGAAATTTTGTTATTAGGAGGCTATTAGTTGAATTGACACTAATGATAAGAAAAATTGAAACACATTTTACATTCCCAAGAAAACATGTTTGTTTATTAGAAATTGGAAAGTTACGGTATGCATTCGACGTGTAAGTTATTAGAGTTTATCCTCGATGGGAAATATTGCGATTTCCACGAGTGCTTAATTTTTTCTTCTTTTCTTCAAATTAGGGCGACGTGGAACCGGCTCCCATGAATGAGAAATTGCCCACTTTTTTAATTTTTATTTATTACTGTGACGTAGTAAAGTAGTCTTTTTTATGTGTAACACAGACTAAGTAAGCAAGCAATCATATTAAATAAATAATGCTTAGCATTCATGTAATAACATAAAAGTTATTGAAAGGGACACATTTTTGGAGGTTATCTGAAAACGACCCTTAGACAACTCGGCGCCGATCGCTCTATTTTATTTACTATTTTGAGGTTGTTTTATTTCAGTAATGTATTCTATTACTGAATCTTATGAATAGGAAAAAATGGCCAGTGATTTTTTTTGTCACCCTGTATAGTAAAATTGACAATATATACTGATGACTATGCGGCGTAAAAACACGATTCCTAAAAACTTGCACGATAGAAAAAAACAAACTTACCTCGAAATTTTACAAGAAAACCGCTCTATTCTATATACTTTACATTATAATATTCCAATGATATTTTTTTTAATATCAACTGATAATATCGTCCTGTACAATTAGAGGTGGGCGTTTAAGCGAAAAGCACTTTAAAAAGTCTGCTTTTTAAAATAAGCTCATAAGCACGCTTTTCATTTTAAGCGTAAGCGTTGGTCACTGGCCAGTTCTATAGATACTCAATAATTTCATTTTTTACAACGTGCCTAAGTTTCAAGTAGCGTCATCTATGTTTCCTAAAGAAATTAATTCAACATAACGTTACAAGCTTTTTTTAAACGTAAGGTCAAGTCTATGCGCTTAAACGTTTTTTAAACGACTTTTTAAGCGTCAACCTAAAAAGCGTTTAAGCGAAAAGCGCTTTTACAAGCACGCTTTTTAAACGTACGTTTTAACGTTAAAAAATAAGCAGTTTTTCTCATCTCTAGGCAGAATAGAACCGATTCAGGGGGTCTACTCTCGATCTCCGTCAGACATTCGTCCGAAACAATTACTGTCAAATAAGTAATATTCGACAAAATTAAAAGGCAAGTATCAAGAATGAAGCTTCATTCGCATCACGCGTCTTTTCATTTGGTCAAGTATTGTTTATTTGGCAGTATCAGAAAGTAGATCGGAAAGTTGACCCCCAGTACGGGAAAATTTAAATTCGAGCCAAGGTAGTATCGACTCTTAAATAGAATAGTTATAAAATTACACATGTATGTAATTTGTTTCATGTATCACATGTGGTTTTATTATACCAAGGGGTTTATCAATGTATTAATTTCAAGTAAAACATTGTCATTTCATGGTCATTTGTCATTTTTAGGTGTCAATTTGAAAGCGTTCTCCTGCCCTATGACGACAGGTTTGTCATTTTGCATTTACATAATTTTATTTAATCAAATTACCAGGCCAGGTGATTCTCTGTCGAACTTAAAAACTACAATAATGTCATAATTATTAATACAAAGATCGTACCAAATACAAAAGATCCGACAATTAGCACATAGAAAAATTCGTGAGGTTAGCTGGTTCCTTCCGTGGCTTAGTTGGCATAGCGTCTTCGATCGAAGGAATTTTTTCTGAGTGTTCGATCTTTGAATTAATAATTATAACAAACTAGTGGAGCAATTTAACAAATAATAATTGAATATCAATTAAATACAAATTTAATTACAATAATGTCACTTCCGTCATTTGTCATTTCGATACTTGAGGCACACTATAAGTTTCCGAAATGAATAAGAAAAAATACTACAAATGGTCAAAAATGAATTTATTGTTTCTCAAAATATTCTCCGTTAGCGTTAATGCACTTTATCATACGAATGTCGCAATTTTGAAATAATTTATGCCACTTCTCCGTGACAATCGACAGCCTCTTCAGGTGATAATCGAGGACCGCGTAACTGCTTCTTAATTTTTGGAAATAAATAAAAGTCACAAGGTGCCAGGTCGGGACTGTACCCGGGATGGCTCATAAGGTCAACGTTGTTCACTTTCAAAAATTTATTTGTCTGGCCGTGTGACAACTGGCATTATCGTGATGCAAGATGATACGACGGTTACGGTTATTTTTACGGAGTTTGTCAATAACTTCCGGCAAACAAATGGTCGTGTACCAATCACTATTCACGGTACAACGATTCTCCAAAGCAACAGTAGCCACGTGCCCAGTTTTATTAAAAAAAGAAGCAATCATCCTCTTAGAGGCAGTTTGCACGCGCGCCACTTTGGTTGGTTTCGGCTCATCTCGAAAGACACATATGCTGGATTATAAATCCATGTTTCGTTACCTGTTGCTATGTCCCGCACCAAATTTGACCCCCTTCGTTGAATCTGGTAAGCATGGCATTGCACCAAGTGACGCGATCCGTTGAGCCTCAGTCAAATTGTGTGGGATCCACCGAGAGTGCAGCTTTTTCACACCCAAATGTTTGTATAGTATTGAATGTATTTGACTCATGCCTATGCCTAAAGATGCCCGAATCTCATGGTATGTCACATGCTTATCTGTTTCGATCATACGGCGCACAGCATCGATTTTTGTTGTTCACAGCAGTGGACGGGCGACCACCACGAAATTCGTCAATGAGATTCACACGCCTGCATTTGGTGCGCGATCGATATATAGTTAAGATAAGATACACGATATCGGATATTCGATATTGCCACAATATATAGTTTCAATAACTATAAACGATTTGTAACGCCGATTCCTAATTCATTTTAAATAGCAAAAGATAGCACAAAATTATCTTTTAAAAACAGTTAAAATTAGTTAATGTGTTCAACTTATCGGAACTTACCCTAATGCACAGCTGAAACATCAATAAACAATTTCAATGTTTTAAAACTGGATTATGGTTTTTTTGTGACATCTCAACAAATTATTTTGTCAGCATTGACTTACAAATAAATGGACGACGGGTCTAATACAAAAACCACGAAAAAAATGTCCCAAGTCAACCTATTTAAACGTAGTGACATGTAAAGGAATATGAAAAAGCTAAAGCGTTGAATATAAATTGTAATGTCATCGTAGTACTGTTTAATTTTGCTTGCTTCGCTGTCAGGCGAACAAACGAAGACTAAAGCGTGAATGACGCTCTGTATACGATTTTAACGCCCTATAAGTTCGGACACTTTTTAGCGCGGACCCGACGTCCATATAATTGTAAGTCAATGTTTGTCAGAGTAACATTTTCTTTTAATTAGAAAAACTGATGTTTTATATGTCAACCATTGACTTACAAATTAAAGTCAATGATGTCAACTGTTTTTCTTTCATCTACCATTTCCCTCGCTGTAGTGAGGCGAAAAGTTGTGTGTTTCGCTCGGCAGCGAAGTTGTTTTGCGTCTCGTGCCTTGAAACCCTCGCTACGCTCAGGAATCTATATTTGAACCACTCGCATCGCTTCTCGGAATCTTAGCTTCCTTCGCTTGCTCAGCTTTCAATACAAGCACCCGCGTCTAACAACAACTTTGCAGCCTTGCATAACAAATAACTATCCTTCCTAGAGTTCAAAACATTTGTCTCAAAATAAAGCGTATGCTCCTCTTATCCCACATGACCTTAGAAATAATATATTTCATTATGTAAAGAATTCGCCGATCGGTTTATATGTACTCATTGTAATCTATTATGCGTTATTGCCTAGTTGTGTTTTAAATGATGATGTAAAGTCGATTATTTAATTAGAAATATTGGTGTTTGTATATATAGGATTTTCACAGTAAGTTACATTCTTAGAATAATAACGCATAGAATGATGGTTTCATATCAAACGAACTGTCACAAGTGAGGCAAAAATCAAATTCATGTAGGCTAGTTTTAGTAGTAGGTTAATTTTCGGTTTTAGTGAATATTTATATAAAAATACAAGTTGAAACGCGTTACTTCCTTGTGGAATGTGATGCTAGTATCTATTTTATGTTTGTCTGGCGTATTTTTACACTCATTTACCGCACATTTCGTCATTTTTAGCTAAAATTCTTGATCTGTTCGCGGTGCAAGTTGACCTTGAGCACTGAAGACCCGCCCGCTCGTGTAGGCCCATTGGGCGCGCTTCAATTTACCTCACTTAGCGTGTGCGGACTAGGTTTCTATGCGTTATTATTCTAAGGTTACATTAATAAGAATGTTTTATTTGTCATTAGCTTTATCGTTGTGTGGCTTAGAACATTGTGATTCATCCACGAATTACGATACGCAATCTCTTTATTGATAAGAATGGACGGAGTAACAAATTAATTTACTTCCATTTTTATAGACATGATAGCTTTATTAATTGCTTTATCCATCATCAACGTCATTGTTACTCAAAAAGCTTTTTATGTCACGTACTTAAATGCCGTGGACAACGTGCCTAAGTGTCTGTTTGTTTTGTTGCATGTGGTGGTAGATCGAGGTCTGGAATCAGATTTGGCCGTGGGGAAATAGCAAATCTTACTGTAGGAAATATAGGTACGTTAATTATTGATTTATTATCGTATTTTGCAGCGCAAGGCTGTTTCTTACACACAATGAAACAAAAAGAGTTATGCTCTAACCAGTGTTGCCATGTCCATAATCTTATTCGTTCGACGTTTCAACGATTGAAAATTTTACTAAGAAGTACCAACGCCTGCCCTTTGTATTATGGCAATAAAGCACTAAAAACTTTTGCTTTTTTAATTTAATCTGGCACTTCTTCGTAAAATTTTCAATCGGCTATATTATTTAACTAATGTAGATAAGAAGCGTATACCTTTAATTCGTGAAGGTAGCAAATAGATAGCAATTATTGGTAATACATACTTCTGGAAAATCTGCTCCCTTCATGCTGAACAAAATGACGACCAGCCATCCTGACGTCAGAATGGCTGGTCAATTATTATTTTTGATTTCTCAGAATATATCAAAGGTAGCAATTCTTGAATATTAAGGTTAAATTAATTCTTGAGTAAGTCGAGTTGACTCGTTGTAGTGTGTAGGAGTAACTCGAGTTAACCGAGTTAAACAGCTCGACTTGCCCATCGCTGTTCTTTATTCCCGACTTCTAAAAATAAACAAAAATGTATTGATAACTTGGCATAAGCTAAAACGTAAAATTATATTAGTAAAGTCCACGAATGGAATTTTATAATTATTGGGTCAGCTTTCGCCATCCTTCTTTATTATGTTCTGTAAAAAAGTCATGGAACACAAGTTGTTGTAGATGTTAGTTTGTAAGTAATATAGTCCTGCGATGTTGTTAGTGGTGTAGAAATAACCCTGTTTAAAAATGGTAGACTACGACCGTCAGCGGATAGGATTGACCTACCAGGTCAATGGTGGATAGTGTTAGTTTTTGAAAGCTGAGGAACATCATATATTTTATTCCTTGGTTACAAAAATGTCAGTACCAGCAGTAAATGAGGAAAATAACGCTATTGTAGTTGGTGATTGTGTTACGGATGAGAAATAAGTGGTCGCAAAAAAAAAATATTCGCGGAAAACATCTAGTCAATATCTTTTTATTTTTTGCTACAGATGTTTGTATCACGAACGATCACCATTTGTAAATATAGCAAGATCTTTTTGTTATATCCTGTATAGTTTTCGTAATCTGGTATTTAGAATACCTAATTTGTGACCTCTTTTTAGCTTAGCATAAACAAGGTACAATTTTTTTAACGATAATTATATCGGGACAACTCTATAAAGTTGATAAATGATATGCATGTTGTGCTTACATCTAGTAGGTTTCATTGTACTCGTGTAGTATAATTAAGCATGTTTCTATTTAAGACTGAAAGCATTGTAACCAGTTTTGTAAGCCAAATAAAAAAAAAAAAAAAAAAAGTTTCTTCAAATCGGTAAAACAATCAACTGTTCCATGTAAACATTTAAACCTCTTCGACCAAAATGTACAAGACTCAGGATATTAGAAAATATATTTCTTACTGAATTGGTTTAGCTTTTAAATTAAATTTATGGAAACTTCAGAGGGGCTCGAAACGTGGATTTGTTTGGAAAAACAATTGAACGCGATTGACGAAAAATTTTGTATTAGTAAGACAGCATTGACTTACAAATAAATGGACGACGGGTCTAATACACAAACCACGAAAAAAATGTCCCAAGTCAACCTATTTAAACTTAGTAACAATGACATGTAAAGGAATGTGAAAAAGCTAAAACGTTGAATTTAAATTGTAATGTCATCGCAGTACTGTCTAATTTTGCTTGCTTCGCTGTCAGTCGAACAAACGAAGACTAAAGCGTGAATGACGCTCTGTATACGATTTTAACGCCCTATAAGTTCGGACACTTTTTACCCGACGTCCATATAATTGTAAGTCAATGTAAGACAGATTACTTTTTTCACCATTCCAGGCTGGTGTTGCTATTGCTAAAAAAAAGTATAATATCCCCATGGACAGCACTTAAATACCGCACGTAGTACTTATATTGATTCAATATAAATCGTTCAAAGTATGTAAATTATTGAATTTTGGCAGTACGTTGTTGACACTTCTCTATGGAAAAGCTGTAGGGGGCAACTACACAGAAAGCACTTGGAAGTCGCACTACAAAGCGCGTAGTCGGTTGTTTGATCCATAAAGCGAAACGGGGTAACGCGTACAATCATATTTTTAATATTTAATTTGACAGTATCGTTATGACATTTTGTGTCTATAAATAAAAGAAATGGAGTTTCAAAATGGCCAACGTTAACACAACGATTTCCCGTGAAACAAATATTAGAAGTCTTAGCTTGATAATGAAAATGTACTGAAGGGGGAAAAAATGGCGGGTTTTGCAGTTGCTGTTTTACAGGAATAAATTTTAAGTCTAGTTTATTTAGGTTTTGAGTTTTCTAATCATTTGTTACTGTTTTATAGTGTTCAATAAGTAAATAATAATTTAGTTCTTAGGTTTTCGCGATTGTTACACATAGGAAATGAAACTATTTTTCCGGATTTAAATCGCGTATATTTGTTTTTTCAAACAAACCGACGTTTTCATTCAATGAAGTTTGACAAACTTCAGGTCCTTGCAAAAGAATTCCGTTATCTACCCAGGATGCTGCGAGAGGCCATTGAAATTAAAAAACATCCGAATTTTGACAGGGAAGATGGTTTCTCCGTACCACCAGTTTGGGATCCAGTATTTCCTCTAATAAAAAATCCCAAACAGAAATAAGACTGCAGTAATAATTAATATGTTTTAGTTTATTCTAATTTCTATTAATAATTAATAATAAATGGAACTTAATAAAAATTCATTCAATAAAATAATTTGTAAAACTTAATGTAGCGTAAATTGGAATGTTTTCTTCGTAAAATTAAAAATAAGATATTTAATTAACAACTATAGTGAAAAAATAGGGTGGTTTGCATTAATATTAGACATAACTGGTTGAAGACTGTACCACCTCAGTCAACCGTGACCATGGGACCTGTAAAGGGCCCGAAACGTCGGTTTGTTTGAAAAAACAAATATACGCGATTTAAATCCGGAAAAATAGTTTCATTTCCTATAAATAAAAATTGTTATTTACAAATCTAAATGAAATCTGAATTCCAGAGAATCGAACTGCTACTTAGTGGATTTCCACACTCTGCGCGAGACGCTAATATCTAATTTTGATAAAATTGTAAAAGTGAGTTTTGAGAATGCCTAAAACATCGTCTGTCGCTACTAACTTTCAGATATTACATTTTCTCATGTTGCATTATGCCGAGTGTACTTTTTTCTTATTTCATTAAACATTTTGCTGCACTAGAACCAGTGCTTGCATAAATATTTAACATATGATGTAATTTTATCAATATTACATTTTAAACGACGACAAAAGTGTCTAGAAATCAAGCACGTTTTTGCTAATTACTGAAAACCTGGTTTTTAATTAATTTTTTTAACACCGGTGGATTTTTTGGTCAATTTCAAAACGAAATTACCAAAAAAAACCATTAGTAAATATTTCAAAAAAATGTCAGAAGGAAAACTAGCTGTTTTTAGTTGTTGCTAGTAGAATTTATCACTTTAAATATGGACATAGACACACGAGCTGCAATTCGACGACTTTGCACCTGTAAAAATAGTCATCTTAATAACTACAATTTGAACGTAATGGGCTAGATTGCAGGCTGGCAGCCCGTGAAAGTAGCCACAGTGGCATGCATATTCTGCCTTTCTAGCTCAGCGTTGCCCTGTTTAAGTTTTATAATTATCTGTCTCATTTGAAAACGAGTTATCTGATATTATTTTTGGGACAATAATAGAACTATATAGCTAATAAAAACAACATAAACAACCTGATTTTCAGTAATTGGAATAAAACGTGTTTGGTGTGTTATGATATGACACTTTTGATGTGGTAACACTTCGGAACATCTCGGAAACTACGAATTTTACGAAACATTTATATTGTAGTCAATAACTAGCTTAAAAGCTATTAAAAATGTTTAATGTTTCCGAATTTTCCCGATATGTAACATTTACAGCCTGTTTTATTATTTCGACTTATTACAATAATCTTTTATATTATTACGCACCTGTATTCCGACTATCCAAAATTTTGTTGTAAATTAAATATGATTCGCCAGATTTGCAAGACGGATACACCTCCATCTTTTTCAAATCATCTTCCTAATTATTTGGGTGTCTTTTGAGATAAGCAACTATTGTCGAAATCATCGATATGACCTTCAACCCTTGCCAAACCGGAAATAAGACAACTGTATCATTTACAAAAAAAAAATGTCGGTATTCGAAGAAAAGTATGAAACAGCTGATTATTTTTGACGTTTTAACAAGGGTTGCCATTTTAAAAGTTGTTCGCTTTCATGAGTACGTCGTCATTTAAAAGTCCAAATACCGAACTCACACTGAAATGTTAAAATTTCGGATCAAGCACATACAGACGGAAGTGACATCCATTTTCGACATTGTGAGAATTACCGCGGACATTATATTGAATGTACGTTATAATTTTAATCTAAGTCTAATTTTATAAGCTTACATCCATTTTCACGTACTTACACGTTTGTGAAAGTTCATTTTACGAATATCTGAAAAAGTTGAGTTTTTAAACACTTATGATTGCAGGTTGTCCTAAACGAAGTTCATACATTAAAAGTAAAGATTAAAGAATTAAGATGAAATAGTAGCTTTTATTAGTTGTTGCTAATAGATATTTTCACCCTATATGAAGATATACGAGCTGCATTTCGACCGCAACTGTCAAAATATGAATTAACTTGAATGTAATGGACACAATTGCAAGCTGGTAACCCGCGAAAGCCTTTCTAGTTCAGCGTTGCCTTATTTAACCCTTAAACAAACACGAACCTCTGTGGTCAATCCATAAAATATTGCAGTTGCGTATGCCATTGCTAAAAGCTTGCTTGTTTAAAGGGATTGTTTTGTTGTTTTGGTGGAAACTCTTTAATATATGAAGAGGTGTATGGTAGAACCTTTGCCTACTCAAACAACCGGCTAAAGACTTATTAAAAAAACATGGTGGCAAATATTTTACAATTAAACATTTACAATTTGAAAATACGAAATAAAATACGTAATCGATTTCTGAAAAACAAAATGTCTCATGTAAAAACGAGTTAACTGATTTTTCGGATAATAATAGAACTATATAACCACCAGGAATAAATTTTCCCATTAGTTCTATTATTATTGAAATACAATTTAATAGAACAACTGTGACAAAAAACTCCAAGTAGTTATAAAATAGAACTAATTTTGACAGTGTTGCCATTTAAAAACAGTTTTTACTAATTGTCAAACTCAGAATGAACTTTAGATGCAGCCGGCACGATTGCAAGCAACTGCTTTTTAACTGTATTCTAATTGTTATTTGGCAATTACGATGCCGTCCGAATGCAGCACGTGTTAACACTCCCTTAGCCAAAACAATAACGGTAACGACATTAAAATTAAAAATATGCTACTGGGACACCCTGTATAATCTTCAAATCTAAAGAATACTGTATTAAACCAATATGTCTCATCCAGGATCAACTTCATGAAGTGGGAAAAACCACCAGTGTCTCTGGACCACCTGCAGAACTCTGAGGTCTTCAAGCTGGTCCACAATATGGACCAAAGCCCGTTGAGGAGAGTCGACATGTTGACACCTGTTGTCGCTGAGGCCGATTATAGAGAGGTATTTTAGTGTTTGACAGGGGTCTATTCCTTGCCACGTGCTTGTAATTTCACAAGGTCCCTTACCATTGAAAACCGTAATGCAGTAATGCTTACATTTCCGCTTGGCGGCAGTAATAGGTGAGGTGGCAGTACTTTTTCATAATACCAAGAAAAGGGACGAACAAGTCGTGCGCCTGGTGGTAAGCGGCACGCCTGTCCATAGCAGTTGCGTTGCCACTCAGAGCGTTTAATCGGAAAGATCTTAGTGTATGTCACTGCATCTGTCACCCAGAGACAAGTTCGTCGTTCTCGAATCGAAGGGCGCTTTCTATCGTTATCCAACAACGTTTATGGAGTTAGTCGGCGAATAAAGAATATAAGAAAAATATTTTATAGTATACATTTTTAAGATTTTAAAGGCCTAAAATATAGGAATTACGCATTGACTTACAAATAAATGGACGCCGGGTCTAATACAAAAACCGCGAAAAAAATGTCCCAATTCAACCTATTTAAACGTAGTGACATGTAAAGGAATATGAAAAAGCTAAAACGTTGAATTTAAATTGTAATGTCATCGCAGTACTGTCTAATTTTGCTTGCTTCGCTGTCAGTAGAACAAATGAAGACTAAAGCGGAGTGTCGCGCTCTGTATACGATTTTAGCGCCTTAGAAGTGCGGACACTTTTTAGCGCGGACCCGACGTCCATATAATTGTAAGTCAATGGCTATTCTGTCTTTTATAAATTTATATCATGACCTCGGATTTCAGTTTTTTACCGGATCGATGGTGCCGTTAAACCATTGTTTATTATTACTGTCTTTTTTTTTTAAACAGAAATGTCGTTCCATCACTCCATGCACAGAGCGTATGGCAAGGGAAGAGCACCTCGACATCCCACAGCAAGTCCAGCCCTGAGTTATTGCCCTTTTGAAAGTAGTGTTGCGTTTATTTATCGATAGTTTTTCCGTGCTATCTATATAGTACGTAATACGAGGATAACTTAAACGACTTCGTTCAATAAGCCGTTGATATCCCTTAGATTTTTAAATTACAAAATTATATACACATCATAGGTAAATATCTAAAGTTAAAGCTTTCCTAAAAAGGCATCGAATCTTTCACCGAAACTATAGAAGTATTTAAAGCTTCCTGCTGAGTTTCGGTATCGACAAAAACAATATTGGAATTAATTGACAAGATAAGCAATCGATAAATCAATAGTTGATGTATAAATAATCTCGCAACACTAATTTAAAATTGTATTCATAATTATTCATACTTTTGTAACGGTTGTTTTGAATAAATGTTGGTTTCTTTCTTTGCGTTTTATTTCGAGTAATTCTATAACAATGGTGTTGGTTAGCATCGAAGGAGTTGTGAATTAAAAAACTAGTTGTTGTTCTTGTATTTGTGTTAATAATGAAATAAAAATAATAATTATTATAGTTTATTCTGCAATTATAATGAAGAATTTTTCTTTTTCACAAAAGCAGATTTTTTTACTAAACGTTCTTCGCAAATGCACCGCCTTGAAACAACACAATGGGGTAGCATGTTACGTCAAGTACCGCGTCGTCATGACGTCACATGAGCTCTACATCGTTTTGAATGACGTTATTATTAAAATTTTTCAAATTTTATTACAAAATAACAATATTCACAACATTCAATAAAACTTAAATACAATTATTAAAGCGACGTCTCTAGTCAGCTGCTGGTAACTGTAAAGGTACCTGCTGGCTGCGTGAAGAAATAGAGTTTCTCACAGATGGCGCTACTGCAAAAAAAGTCGTTATAAAACAAAGATCTGCATCAAATACATAGACAATTTCGTAAGGTCAGCTAGTTCGTGCAGTGGCTTAGTTGGCATCGCGGCAAGCACGGTTTGCTAGAAGACGTCGTCGGTTCGAATCCGGCCGAATCGAAGGAATTTTTTCTCACTGTTCGTTCTTCTATAATTAATAATTATAACAAACTAGTGGACAAATTTCACATAAAAAAAATTTAATATCATGGACAATAGTCGCTTGCTTGCTCCATCCGAGCTTACGCTTCATCGTTACATCTCGGGTTCGATTCCTGGACTAGCTCCTGTACACTGTTGGATTACAGGCCTTACGTCCGTAAATACCACAATATAAATAAATAAATAAATATCGCACACACTCAACATAGCCCCGCACTAGGGAAACCCTGTGTCGCGGGTGCCATGGACACACATATAGACAACCACAAATTACACCCAAACTCACGAGAGAAATAAATGTAGGCCATACAAACATTTCTCCAGACCCGAGAATCGAACCTGGGACCTCTGCGTGGCAGTCCGGCATGGTAACCGTTCGGCCACGGAGGCAGTACAATAGTATAGTAACTCCACACGACTTCGCCAAACCGGGGCTACCGCTCTCCCAATTCAGCTACAGAACGAATTAGAAGAATTTACGAATTTCTCTGTGGGTTTGTTGTAGAAGTTTCTCACTTAAACGGTTTTTTGCTTTATACGCCACCTGTGAGAAACCTATAAAAGCTGAGCATTAATTCAGTGTATCAGATTTTGCATTAGATCTCAAATCTGAGACTTGTATTTCTGTTGACGTCAAATTTAAACTTGCCGGAACTGACGCAGTCGTAAAGTCAGAAATTCTCGGAGAATCGTACAAGCAGAAACAGGTCTGAGTTTCTTTTATGCTCAAATCCGGGGACTGAGTTTCGCAAGTTATAGTTTCTTTATTCGAACGACTCAGGCCAAATTCGAGTGGAAAGGTCTGAGTCTGTATGTCTGACAACGATACACTTTCTGAGAAAAATATTGAGTCATCTTCACTCGATTGCGACTTCAATGACAGTAAATCTTCAAAAACGGTCTGAGTTGAAATCTCGTCAGTTTTTGTCTCAAAATTATAGTTTTTCGTTGAAGTCGTGTGCCACAGTGGTAACGTTACGTCATTTTTAATATTATCTTCAAGATTTAACGTTTGTGTAGCGGAGGAACGCTTTGGACTGTCACAGAAGAACTCGTTCAATCTTTCTTGGTCTGATTTTGGCCTTTTGAGATCTGAGTTCATTA